CAACCGTTGCGACACGATCGCCCGCGCTTGCGCTCTCGCCGACCGCACCAGGACGCCTCACGTCATACTAAATAATTATTCCACCGTCGTCTTAAATAATTATTTCATTATTACGATACTTCGCATTGATTTTTCACGTATACTTCGCATCTATTTTACGCCGCCTTAAATAATTATTTCGCCGCCGCTCGAATAATTATTTCCTTTTGCCGATATCTTGCATGTATTTTCACGTGCTTTCGCTTTTATTTTGCGCCGCTTTAAAATAATTATTTCACCATTGCTTAAATAATTATTTCGCCTTTGCCGATATCTTGCATTTATTTTCACGTTGCTTTCACTTATATTTTGCGCCGCTTTAAAATAATTATTCCACCGTTGCTCAAATAATTATTTTACCAGTAACGAAACTCCGCATTTATCTTCACGCTACTCTGTATTCATTTCACGCCGCTTTAAAGAACTATTTCGCTATCACTTGTTAATTACCTCACCGATATTTGGCTAATTTGTATGCTATTTCAAATTCATCTTGCACACGCTTCGCATGTATGCACGAGCATTGTAGCAGATCATTCGAGGCAAATCGTATCAACATCTTTCTCAATAAACACTGTTTCATTATTTTTCTGATAAACGAGTATTTGGTTTATTTGACATACCCCCAACCGACCGAACCTGGATTCCGGCGAGCTAATCCGCGTCCGCCGAAGCTCACACGGTTTCACTTTATTCCATTTAAAGAAAACAAACTTGCTCTCATCACTACAACAGTGTTTTACAGTTTTTTCACGTAATGAAAAATATTTATTTTTTTGTTAATTTTTTTGAAGTTAAATTATGCTTGATCTCTTCTGTCGGAATTACAAATTTCTCACAAAGTTCGATAGCTAGTTCTTTTCATTGTCAGTTGTAAATAAAATATTTACACATATACATATATGTTACGGCCTGATCAGACTTCACGATTATTTTCTTTTCATTAAATATCAGACCTAGTAAACGCGGGACCAACAAAAACTCTTAAAGAATATTATAATGCCAGAGCTGTTTTTCTCACGAGACACCAAGAGTTCGAACTTTCTCACAGAAAAAAATAACAAGGGGCATGGATATTTCAAAATACCTTGGCCGCTCAGTGTGCCTATTGTCGCCAGAAAAATCGTAAAAGTCAGAACTTTGCGGTAGCTGGAGTCTTTAACCGACTCCAGACGTTTAAAGTAAGAGGTAAAAAGAAAAATTGGCACCAGCTAGTCATATTCTTGGATTCCATCTACGGGAATCCTAGCTAATAGATAGGGTTTTACCGAGTAACAATCGGGCAATGACCGCAGTCGCATGCCGAGAAGGCGCGACACCTGATACGGCGCACGTGTTCAGTAGGTCTGGGAAACCGAGATGCATTAGTCGCACTCTCCACGCGACACCAAGGCCACGCAACAGTCGTAAACTGTCAAATTTATTAGATCAGTGACCCAAGGCTTTGCGAACTTATATACCGATTCTTAACCCTCCAATCCGAAAGCCGGGAATCGGGGGCATGCACCTCTATAGACCACCCATCATTCCATCGTATGGTCTAAAGACTACGCCCACCCAGATTTTAAGACACTAAGATGCACCCCACCTATGCTAATTAACACCAACCGGGTTACGCCATTTCAAAAACCTACTCCCATCGTATATGGACCCGAAACGACGCTACTCCTTATTCGTTGGGGCCCCTTTCTTCCTACCCCATTTCAAGTAACCTAATCATCTAAACCTAATCCTATTAGCTAAAAATGACGCCATTCTCCCCCGCATTAGAAATCTTCTTGCAAGACTAATTTCTATTCGATCCCCGCCTCAAAACCCTAAGATTTTCTAAATGGATCCACCTCAAGGAAAGGGTATAAAAACCCGTGTTCTGGTGGCTCCACACACAGTTTTTCAGGCAGTGTTTTGCGCAGTTCTTCACACAGTTTTACTCAGTTTAGCTCAGTTTCTTGAAATAGTCTTTCGAGTAGTTCGGGGGCTCGTATTAAAAGGTAAAAACTGGTCGCGAGTAGAGTCACCAATTGCCACTTTGCCATGACCAAGTGGTGCATCTCGAATAGAGGGTCCATCATCTTTACGACACCATCCCGCAGCAGGGTGCTCACCCATTTACAAAGAACAGGAAGTCCGACGTCTATACCGCACTATCCCTCAGCAGGGCGCCCATTTGGGACCACCGAAGCTGCTTAGCATTAACCGAGACTGCTCTGCAACGAGTAAGTCAGTTCATTCCTCTTTATTTTATTATTTTCTCTGTCCTGTCTCCGGAAGAATAAAACACTCACACACACACACACACACACACTATTGTAGAAAAAACACAGAAATTAATAACACACACATGCGATTAAGGGTTAAGTTTATTTGTATCAAAATTAAAAAAATCAATTAAATTAAAATGTAAAGCCTTTAGCAAATTAAACTTTTGTTCTTTTTTATTTAACCACACCCTCCTCGTTTGTCATCCCCTTACACCTTCCCTCTCAAATTGCGCACAAAGGTTTCGTCCCGGGTAAAAGGGATTCAATTCCTTGACCCAAAAAGGGAACCAACGAGCGGTTGATCTGTCGACGGAGTGAAAACGACTCTTCCAGTCGCTGACCCGTCGCAAGTTCTAACGTGTCGCTCGGTTCGTGCAGTTAGGCCCGTTTACATTGATCGCCGAGTTCAACAAAAATTAACTTCTATCAGGACATAACATATATTTACCGTCTATTTACCGCGAGAACACTAGAATATTGTGCTTCGTGTCGCGATTGTTGTAATTTACGATTTCCGTGAAATTTACAAATAACATTAGATATTCATACAAGTGTTAGAAAGTGCATTTAGTCGTCACATCATCAAATTACTGCATTATTCTAAAAACGGAATATAAAATAATTGTTAAATTATTGAACTCTATTTGCGTGAGACTAAAGCAAGGATGAGTAACGACAACAATGAGCTCGTGCAGACTGGTGAGTTTAAAGGAAAATTAAAAAGTACAAGATGCGTCACAAATATTCTATTTACAAA